TGCCTTCGGCTCAGGTCATGATCCCAGGGTCCTGGGATCAAGCCCCGCATCGGGTTCCCTGCTCAGCAGGAAGCCTGCTTCTCCCTCTCCTTCTGCTGCTCCCCTGCTTGTGCTCTCTAGCTCTGTCAAATAAATAAATAAATAAAAGCTTTAAAAAAAAGAAAAGAAGCTAAGAATCAACTAACAGAATGACAAAAATAGTCTGATTCTATTTATAGGAAGTTCTAAACTAGGCAAACCAATGAAATATATTGTTTAGAGTTATACATAAATATAGTTGAATTTCAAAGAAAATGAATGCAATGATTAAAACAAAATTTTGAGTCATAGTTGTTTGAGCCAATGAGGTGGGGGAAGGTGTTGTAGAGAGGAAAATGTGACCCGAAAGGAACATATATTGGGCCTCTAAATTACTGACAATATTTTATCTCTTTCTTGGCAGCAGGGTAATAGGCATTCAATGTATTATTCTTTAAAGTATACTAACACATTACATCTACTTTTGGGTATGTATGATACATGTTTCATGTTACCTCCTTAGACAGGCAACCTTAGTCCACCCAATCTAAAATAACTACCCAGTTGGTCTATATCACATTAGCCTATTTTAATATTCCAGATTTATCTAGTTTTGGACTACTTGCCAGAAGTTTAAGATATACAATGATAATTTTCAACATACTTTGTGTATCTTCTAGGCAGTTCATGGATTTGTTTCAAAACAAAATGTCATATAAAAACATTTCATGTTTTTAAATGGTTTTTAGAGGCTATATTCTACCACACATATTTTAAAAATGATAACTTTTTAAATGAACTGATTTTATAATCTGGCTTTAGACCCTGAATGTGCAACTTAGCAACAGTGAACCTAAGAAACTTAATTCTCTCAGAACTTCACCTTCCTCACTTGGAGGTAAAGTTGAACTCACAGGGTTTTGAGGATGATTAAAACCTGTGAGTGAATAGGAGATTGTCTTAGGCACCTAGCAGCAATTACCAATAATTTCCCTCTCTAAGTAATAGCCATGAATTTTACAGTGATAATGAATCACAGATAGTGATTCACAGATAGTGATCTGTTAGTTAAGTATTTTCATTTTGGCAATTCTCTCTACCTTTCTGCTGGCTAGATGAAGTTGATGATGGGGTGCCCATGGATGGCAAAACCACTAGGTAGAAGTCTGGATCCTTAATTCACTATGTATAGAAGAGCTGCCTGCCAACAAGGAAAACCCATTTTAGATTCTTAAGGAACAAGAAATAAAATCCTGTTGTGTCTGAGACATTATACATTTGGTATCTATTTGTTACAGCAGTTTAGCCTGTTCTATTTAATATATTCTTAAAAAGGTGAACCACATTCAGAAGTACGAGATATAGCTGAAGGGGTCAGAACAAATTATTAAGTGAATGACTACCTACCAAATAGTGAGATATCCAGCCTTCTTCCCTCCTCAGTCACAGAGAACTGGCAGTAAGGAAGTTTCCACACGTGGGGTAACTGACTAAACTTAAAAAAAAAATGACTTATGTGTAAAAACAAATGGGAGTTTTTCCCCCTCAATGAAACAGATAGCCTACAGAAAACCCTACAGTGAAGCCCACTATCTGACAGGCCACACCTATACTCAAAAATCTTTCAAAAAAAATTTTTTTTGGGGTCTCACTGAAAAATATGAGTTGATAACCAAGGATTAAAAATACAAAACTATTTGAGGAAAAACACTAGTATCATGGCAGAAAACAAATCAAATTATAATAAAACTTGAAACAATTCAGGAAGAAGACCCACAACAATAACTAAAAAATAAATACCTGTAATTAATGTCCTCTGAGATAGAAATTATGAACCCATGAAACAAAAAGAGTATATTATTTCTGATTTAAAAGAGAGAGAGAGAGAGATAAAGAAATATTCTGGGGAAGGGATAAAAAGGGGCTTTTTGGGAATAAATACTGTGAAAGTATAAGTTTAAAATAAATGAGTTAGAAGATAAAATTATGGTACTTTATCCCCAAAACCATAGACCAAAAAAGCAGATATGTAAAACGGTAGAAAGAATAAAATTAGAAGATCAAGTGGAGGTACAATGTTTGATTAACAGAAGTTCTAAAGATTGAGAAGAAAATTTAAAAATCCAAGAAACAAAAAATTTTCAGGATTGAAGAGTGTCCACGTTATGAGGTTACACTGAGTGAGGAACACTGTATGAAAAAAAATATCGACTCCACGGCACATTACTGTGAAATTTCAGAACACCCAGGAACAAAGAGAAAAACATAAAAGGTTCCACGAGACTGACAGAAACAAGCAAGACACATACAAAGAATTAGGAATCAAAATGGCATGAATTTCTTACTAGAAGGTATTATACAATGGAGCACTGCCTTTAAAAATATGAGGAAAAGTTATTTTCAATGTAGAATTTTACACCCTCCCAAAATATGAATCAAGAGGATTGGTAGAATAAAGCATGTTTTATAGATACAAATCTCAGAAGTTTAATTCCCATGTACCCTGTCCTAAAATTAGAAGTTAAAAGAAAAAGAAACAAAATCCGGACAGTAGGAAGTCCAACACAAAGCAAAGGAGATTCCAGAATTACTACCATGCCATCTTAGAAAACTAGTCCACACTGGAGCAAGAGAACAAAGAACTCTCCAAAGATAACTCTAAAAGATGAAACTGAAAAGCTGATTAATGGGTTTAATCATATTTGTTACCGAAAGATCCATCACAGCTCAGTAAACAAATGGGTAAGCCCTGGTACACTGCCATGGCCAATTATTCCATCCCAGAGAATTCGGAGGGGACTGGACACATTGAAAGCATAGCTCCTGGCTGGGTTTGCCAACACTGTTGGAGACCAGTCAGATAAACTCATCACAAGAGTTTATCTGAGAAGCCAGTAACTCAAGAGATAAGGGTTTCGAAAAGAGAAGGGAGAAATTTATTGTGGGTACTGGCAGCCAGGGGAGGTGGTAAGCTCAAGACTTAACAACCGACCTCTCTGCCTCCAACATGGACACTTAACAATTTTATAAGGAGAGGTTGGTGGGGGGATACATGCAAGAGAGCAGGCAGACAGCCTGTGATCATGGGTGAAGGTTGGTATGTGTTCAGCCCATGATCACAGGCAGAAAGAGGACCTGTGGGTGTGGTCTTCTGGGCATCACGTTGCTAACAGGGCTTTTCCGACGTGGTGTTTGGGATGTTCTGGGTCCTTAAAAAAGAACTTCATCATGCTTCAAGAAAGTACGCTAAGAAATAAGCACAATTTTAGTTAACAGCATGAGTTAAGCAGTCTTGTCTATTTCTGGTTTTAACTGTTGGGGTCTACAGTTGAGCAAGAGGGCTCGCTAACATACTGAAAGGTATATTCTTTGGCAAAGAGTTTGGTGATTAATAAATGATAGGTATGAGGAAAACAACAGAAACAAAGGAAAGAGGGAGAGAAAAAAGTAGTCACACTCCTACTGATTAAGATTACAGGTGTAACCCACTTAGCAGTGGCTTAAACTAGAAGACAATTTCTCATGTAAAAGAACTCCAGAGATGGGCGGTCCAGGACTCTTAGCTTGCTGTTCCATGGTGTCAGAACCTAGGCGTCTTCTCTACTGTTGTCCCATCTCCAGCATGTGGCCTCTACCTCACAATTCAAGAAGTCAAGCCATTACACCCATATTCCAGCATGAAGAAATAAGAAACAAAGGAGAGAACTGCTTGCTCCTCCTACACTGCTTTAGACTCACTTATAGTAGGTTATAAATGCACTAACACATTACACTGGCCAGGACTTAGTCACACAGCTGCACCTAGCTGCAAGGATTCTATTACTAATTTTTTAAAAAGAGGGCAGCAGGGAGAATGGATAATGGGAAATAGCTAATAGTCTCTGCTATCTCTCTCCAGTACTTCCCACAGATCCAGTCCAGGCACATCGTTAAAAATGATGCCCATCACCCAGAAAAACTTATTCACCCCCTCTGGAATTATAATGTTAAAAAGCCTCCCCCTGAACAGATAATTCAAGTCTTTGAAGAAGGCACAACCAATACAACGACTGGTGATATCCCTGTAATATTTCCCTATTCTTGATAGTATAAGCAGTATTATTTCAATGTATGCAATAATGTAACTATTGTGTAATTGTGAGTCTGATTATGCATTGTGTAATTGTGTTCTCTGTAATGTAATTAGTAATAAAAATGTAAACATTAATATACTGTAAATTAATAATGCGACAATTTTTAATGTACCCATATTCAGATGGGGAAGGGAAGGTTATTTTGAGGGAGTGGTATGTAAGAGACATAAATCCTCATTTTCCAAGCAACAGATACTATCTATAACTGAAAATACTAAGACATACCAGGAAAAGCCTGTAATTTAGAGAAAGAGAAAAAGCATTAGAAGAAACAAGTGGAAAATGTTGAAAATAGTTATTCTGGGGACCAATAATCAGGGATACGGAGAACAAGACCCGAGGTCTGCTGGTATGCTTTTTTAAGGCTTACAAAACTATTTGACTTTTTAATACTTAGTTCGATGCCCCCATTCCAATGAGCTCCTGAAAAATACAATTTCAATCATTATTAGAAGCCTTAAGAGGTCATGCTGGGGTGGCGATTAGGGAAAGAGGATGCACTTCATGAGGAAAAGTGAAGGCTCCTGGTCTTTATGTAAATCACCCCGACTAACGATTAACCAGGGCAAAAACCTCCACGATTTTAAATGCACAGCATTACGCGTGCACGCATCATACTCCCTTCTCGAAGGACAAACACACTCGCATTCTGCACACGAACTCTTAAGAACTGTTGCGCGACTGCGCATGGAGACGAGGTGATGGGCTCAGAAAGGTGGAACAGGAACGATCCCCGCCTTCAGCCAATCCTAACGTCCCCTCTGACGTTGGGTAAGAACGTCTGAGGAACAAACGGAGGACCAAAGCGCACGTGCCGCCCAAACGGGCCGGGCGCTGGGCCCCGGAGAACGCGAGCAGTAGGGGCGGTGCCGCCACGCCTCCCGGCACCAGAGGCGGAGCTCACGCCGCGGAGTCCCGCCCCAGCCTGCGTCCGCCCGTAGTCCAGTCGCTGCTCTTTTCCAAGCGGGTAAGCCCTAACAGGAGGAATCTAAGAAAGAGTACCGGCTGGCTGTCGTTCCCAGCGCTCGAAGCCCCGCCATGCTCGTCCTCCGAAGCGGCCTGACTAGGGCTCTGGCTGCGCGGAAGCTCGCGCCTCAGGTACCCGCCGCGGAGACGCGCCCAAACCGTGCCGTGGTTTGGGAGGAGGAAGGGGGTGAGCGAGGAGCTAGTGGTCCCACGCATGCGCTACTCGGCTCGCTCGCCCAAACTTGCGAGTGCCGCGCATGCGCCCAGCCTGTTCGCGCGCCGAGATTCTAGTTCCAGTGTGCGTCTCAGAACCCCGAGCTGGGGCGTTCTGGGATGCGTGGGTGGAAGCGTGTAGCCAGTCGGGGAGGGTGCGCTGGCCAGTGTCGCCTCCCGGCCAGCTCGCCAGCAGCCGTGAACAGGACTTCTGTGGCCTAAGGTGCCAGGCGGCCCAGAGGACACTCCTGAAGCTCCCGCTGCTCCGTATTTGCTTCCCAGCCCGGCTGCGTTCGCCAGGTTGGGCACGTGCCAGGTGTTTGCTGGTCGAGCTTTTCCTTTTGATTTGTCCTTTGACAGGCCACCGCCCCCTCCAGACAGAAGGTAGAGGAGAAATAGGTCAACCGGCCGCTGGCGAAAGAACAGGCCTCCCCGCGTTTAAACGATATGTACACAACTTCTGAGCGTTTTGCAGAGAACCTTGAAGAGGAGGGCCAGGGTGCCAGTGGTGGAGCATCCTGCCCAGCGGCCCACTGCCTCGTGCGGGTGGTGGCCGAGCCAGGCAGGGCCAGGACCCTCGTAGCAAACAGGGTGATAACAACCTCACTTAACCTTAGATGAGAAAAGCACACAATAGATTTTTGTGATTTAGCCTTAACTGTCGGGACTTGGCCTAATCTGTGAATCTACAGATTTTTTTCCTTTGATATTTAGGCTTGTACTTTTCTCAAAGGGTACAAGCGGAAGGGGATGAACCTACTCTACAGACTGACTTTCTGCTGAAAACTGAGGAACCAGTGATGGCCCGTTAACCCAAGATTAGCAATCCAGTCTAATCTTTCCTGATTCTCACTCTACTGGGGCAGGGTCAAGACTTATTCCTTACAACTTTACTCTGAACTTTGATTTTTAAATATCAGCCAGGTGTTCTCACAAGTGAATTGGAAGTGAATTGAAAGCATTTTGAAATACTTTCACTTTGTGGAAAATGAGCCCGTATTTGGAGATAAGGGAGCCTAGAACCCTCGTGAATCCTACCCCAGAATAGTTGTAGTTTCTGCCCTTCACAAAAATCACCTCTCCCTAAGCACACTCACTCATCTCACTGCTGTTATCCTTTCTGTGGGCTTTTCCCTCTTACTGTTTATTCTTTGAAAGATAATAAAAATACGTGCCTTTGACCACGTATTTGTTTCCAAATACAAATTCCCTGAAAAACGACTTAAAAGCAGTTGTTATAAATACCACACTGTCCCGTTTTCTGATACATTTTATTTATAATACTTTTTAAACTATAATACTAGGCAGTTTATTTGGATAACATTCTCTTATTAAAATTTGGTTAAAATGACACAAAAATCATGTCCAGCAAAAATAGAAGTATCTGCAGTAGTTTCTGGAGGGAATACTTGCTTTTCAAGTAAGCTTAGACACTTGGGCAGTAGGAACTTAACTCGGAACATGAATGGAATGAACTCAAATATATAATTATAATTATGGTATTATACACAGATGAAATACATAGACAATTACGTGTTTTAACCTAAATTATGTCAGATAAAGAAGTCTACTGGTTTCATTTGATGTACCAGGTAGTCAAATAAGCCCAAAATTTGTCCATAGCTTTGTACCAAAGCTTTTGATAGTTCTGATTAATAAGCCTCATGAAACTAAAAAGAATAAATAAATAATAAGCTTCATGCAACTGGCACATGATAACCAAACCTACAGTAAGAAGAATTTGTAAGTGCAAATGCCATAGGATTGTGTGGGTGTGACTGTATACTCATACACACATATATATACACACAGAGGATAATCTCTGGCAGGGCATTTTCTATCTAAAGTTAAGTTTATTCAGACTTGGAGGACTAAATTAGAAGAAAACTTTATATAAGTAGCATACAACTAATACAACAAGAACTAACGGTTCTTAAGGGATATTTTCGTCAATCTGGTAAAATTGGATGGATTAAATGCCCTTCTTCACACTGCATCTGTAATTAAACCTAATAATGATTCAGACAATTCTAACTTGTTGATTTTTCCTTTATAGCATTCATACAGTTCACCACCATGTTATAATGCAGTTGGATAGATTATAACACTCCATTCCTATCTTTTACCAGGGATCTACTTCATTGGATTTGGGAAATACTTTGACCTGAATAGCAATTTTTATTTTTAAGAACAACCTAAAAGGGAGTTTTTTGCAAGTAAACACATTTCCATTTTGCTTGCCAAAACACCTGCATATTTTATAAAGTTCACTTAAATGCATAACTAACATATATAGTATTGACTAAAAATGGAATATTGGCTAAATAAGGGAAGACATCTGCAAATTTATTAGAATCCTAATTGTAGTTCTTGGGTAAAGGACTCTTGTTAAACCCCAGTGCCTTATGATTAAATTTCATGAAAAAAAGGCTAATAGTGGATCCCTGCTAAGAAACAGTAACTATATATTCAGCATACTTAAGACTACTTACTTTTATTGACATTTCTCCAAACAAATGTCTAAAGAGAGATCACAAAAGAGGTACAAACATGGATTATGAATCTAATGTGTGCCCTTTGTTTCTAGATTCAGATTTGGTTGTAACAATATTATAAACCCTACCTTCCCAAAATATTTAAATTTGCCTTATCTTTCTTCAGGTGTGCGCATCTTTTGCTACGGGCCCCAGACAATACGATGGAACATTCTATGAATTTCGTACTTACTGCCTTAAGCCCTCAAAGATGAATGAGTTTCTGGAAAATGTTAAGAAAAACATACATCTTCGGACAGCTCACTCTGAATTGGTTGGATACTGGAGTGTAGAATTTGGAGGCCAAATGAATAAAATGTTTCATATTTGGAAGTATGGTATGATTTTTCCAGCTTCAGGGTTCAGTATAAATTTTCATTCTGTTAAATGTTACTTGACGCTTAGCTCTTGGATCTAGATTAGTATAAATACCCATAGGTTAAAATAAACTTTTAAAAAGGGGAACAACAACAAAAAACGAATTCAGTGATTTCTCCTCCCAGTGGCACACCTTTAACAACCCTTTGCTCAAATCCTTATGTTACCATAAATGAAAAAGTGTGATATCTCATATTTCAGATCATCAAATTGTGAGCTAGGCTTTAATGCTCAGAAAAATTTTACAGTGGTTTGTCATAAAGACAATTTATGAAAAAAATTAAAGCAGTGATTGTAAGAGCCCAAATAGGTTAAGATCATAAAGGAAGGGAGAGTTATTTTTTATTATTGTTGAAGCTATGGCTGGATATCAGGATTTTAGTAGAAACAATTCAGATATGTAGCGGCTTTAGAGTAGTAGAGGTTGTTGGGGATGTTAGTTAACTTCTTGGCCTCACCCAATGCTAAGATTTAATAATTTGTTATGTTGAGAAAATCATTTTTGTGTTATTTGTGCATTCCAAGTTTCCAGGGAATTTACTGTTCTAGGGACGTAAAGACAATCAGAGTTCTCCCCATATTGAAGTTGATTTACTCCTGGTTTAATATTCAAAGAAGAACAGGTTGCATGAATCCCCAGGATGTTTGTTACTCCAGTGTCTAATCTTTGTGAAGTCCACATCAGAACTAGATGAAATCCAAAGAATTTCAGTACCTTCAATACCTCCCTAGAATTTACTGTTCTAGGGAAGTAAAGACAATCAGCGTTCTCCCCATATTGAAGTTGATTTACCCCTGGTTTAATATTCAAAGAAGAACAGGTTGGATGAATCCCCAGGATGTTTGTTACTCCAGTGTCTAATCTTTGTGAAGTCCACATCAGGACTTGATGAAATCCAGAGAATTTCAATACCTTCATTTAGTGTTTGATCATCAGTTATTAAGACTATTAACCAAAGTTAATAGTCATGAAGTATTTTAATATGAAAAGTGTTCATTCCATATTTAAAATGGCCCTAATTTAGGGGTTTTCCCTATTGTAATAGAATAAACCCCATTAAAACACATTTATGCTTTAATGTGCCACCAGTGGACTCAGGTCCCTTTAAAAAAATCACTAGTAAAGTCTTAATATAACTCACTTAAGCTCTAAGATCCCCAATATAAACCATAGAAAACTCCTTACCATCAGTCTTAATGAGACCCTAATAGTAAATATAGTACTAGGCCTAAATGTTTAGTAAATGTTTAAATATCAAACATAAGAGAAATAAATACTGGATAAAAAGAATGGTGATAATAAGAAAATCAGCACTCCTTCTTTAGAAGCTGTTCAAAGAAGAGGCTTAAAAAGCCTATCTTCCTTTCATTTATGTTAAATTTAATTCAGAGTATACCTTGACCTGACCACTCACCACCACCACCAAAGAAAAATAGTCCTTCTCTAAACGGGCACCGTAATTTAAATAATTAGAATAATTAATAATTAGAATAATTAATATATATTGAGTGCCATCTAGGTGCCAAACACTGCTCAAAGCCCCTCTTGTGTACTAATTCACTTAATCTTCACAACAACCCTGGAGGGAGATACTATATCATTATCCCCATTTCACAGAGTAAGAAACGAGCACAGAAGGATACAATAACTTAACCTGAGTCACACAACTACCTAGTAAGTGGTAGAGCCTATAAAGCCCACTACATGACATTATCATTAGTTGTTTAAATTTCTACTCCCCTTTTAGACCATGAGAAACTTGAGGACAGATGTCACATCTATTTATGTTGATAGCTGCAGTGATAGAAAAGTGTCCTTATGTGGCTTCAATGGACATTTGCTGAGTTGAATGAAATCCAGAAAAGGTATAGGTGATTTTAATTAAGTTTTTATTTTTCTTACTCCTTTTCGTCCCATAGATAATTTTGCTCATCGAACTGAAGTTCGGAAAGCCGTGGCCAAAGATAAGGAATGGCAACAATCTGTTGTTCCAAATCTGGCTCTCATAGATGAACAAGAGACTGAGATTACTTACCTGGTGCCATGGTGCAAATTAGAAAAGCCTTCAAAAGAAGGTAAGTCCTTCCCTCTTAGTTACTTTGAATTCTGATGGAGAAAATACTAAAGATTTCAAGCTATAAAAACTTAACTTCCAGCGGTGCTTGGGTGGCTTAGTCAGTTGAGCGTCCGACTCTTGATATCTGCTTGGGTCTTGATCCCGGGTTGTGAGTTTGGGTCCCGAGTTGGGCTCCATGCTGGGCATAGAGTCTACTTAAAAAACTAAACTTCCCTAGGGAAAGGTAATGCTGTGTTTTATATAGGAATATATTATGATTATAGAGATAAATGAATTTTAGATCTTATTAAAACAATGAACATTGAATGATGTTTTTTTTCCAATTTGGAAAAGCTCTTAAAATTGAGGTATAAATATAAAAAATTGACATGGAGAATAAAGGTTGAAAAGTTGAAGGTTGGGAGCAGACAAGTATGGTTAGGGGAAAGATGATGTATGAAATTTTGTCATAGTTTGGTATTTATTAGACACAAATTACAATTAATCTTAAAATATTAAGGGTATCTTTGCCTGTAAGACTGTTGGGGAATGAATTAAACTGTTAAGCTATATTACTGTAGTTTAACATTTTTGTTTTCCTTTTATTATTTTAAAAATAATTACTAAAGATCTGTCTTCTTGCTGATTTTATTTTCTTGTTCATTTAAGGAAACATTTACCTTAACATTATTTTAAACAAAAGTCAGATTTTTTGAAGTATTAATTAATTTAAATGTTATTTTATTTCCCCCATTTTTCCTAACTTTGTAGTATAGAGTGCAAGAGATTTGAAAGTCTTGTTTGGATCCTTATCCACCTAGACCTTTCCACAGGCTTCCAGCACTATCTAAAAACTAAGTGGCTTCTCGGACAGTGTCAAATCTTGGTTCTCTTCCTCTGTTTTGTTCTTAACTCTTTAGTAACTTTGTGCTTTTTTCCTTTTTCTTCTCAAAGCTCCTTGTCCCCTAGTTCCTCTTCCTCTACCTGCCCCATACTTCTGATCAGAAGGTAAAATGCTTTTCAAGTATTTACCTGGATATTGAGGAACAATAAAATTATCTCCTTCAGTTGTTTCCACCTTTTTTCCCCTACTCAAAAACTCAAGACATCATTGGCCCCATCTTTTGTTCCTATTAGAAATGGAATCCTGTAGGGGGGAGTTATACAAACAAAAAGTATTTCCTCTGGAAAGAAGAGGAAATATGGGAGATCAGAAAATGCTTTTCTTATTCATTTCTTATCTGAAAGTGCAGATTCAGGGAGCTCAAAAATCCTAGTCTTACTATAAATGCTCAATATTTGTTTATTGACAAAACTTGGGCACCTGGGTGCCTCAGATGGTTAAGCATCTGCCTTTGGCGCAGGTCATGATCTCCAGGTGCTGGGATTGAGTCCCACGTCAGGCTCCCTGCGCAGCAGGGAGTCTGCTTCTCCTTCTCCCTCTGCCTCTCTCCCTGCTTGGGCTCTCCCTCTGTCTCGAATGAATAAATAAAATCTTTAAGAAAAATTTCAGATAATAGCTTTATATATCTTCCCTCTTTTGTTGTTCTGTATAAGCTTAACAAGTGATCCTTAAACTTGGACAAGGACTTTCTAAACATAAAAGCAAGGAAAACTAATGCCATAATTCATAAATATGCCTACATAAACATGTACATGTCTATGATCCTCCAAATCTGTGTATGTAGATTAGTCTTCCAGTGGAACTGAACTAACCTGATAAGAAATTTCTTGAATATCTTTTGTAAAATGATTATTTTTCTCCCTACTCTAGGAGTCTATGAACTGGTTATTTTTCAGATGAAGCCAGGTGGGCCAGCTTTGTGGGGTGATGCATTTAAAAGGGCAATTAATGCCCATGTGGATCTAGGCTACTCAAAACTAGTTGGAGTTTTCCACACGGAATATGGAGCACTCAACAGAGGTATAGTTGTCTATTTCTTCTATGAAATTGCAAAGTATATTGGTAATCTATTAAGTTTCGTGGGTCAGTTTGTCTCTTTTTTCCATTGTGGTATATATTTAAATTTTTATTGCCAAATTTTTAGGGTTTTTTTAATAATTTTAAGGGTAGAAAAAACCTGATTTATATCTTGTTTGGAACGTTAACACCTCATGAAGCCTTTTTCAAATGTTAAAATGTCATGTTTTCCATGACACATCAAAGTGATAAAAAACTGCAAAAAGCCTCAAGAAAATATCTGTCCTTTCATCTTTTTTTTCCTCTAAATATACTTTTATTTAAAGTAACATTATTTGGGGGCACCTGGGTGGCTCAGTCGTTAAGCGTCTGCCTTCGGCTCAGGTCATGATCCCAGAGTTCTGGGATCGAGTCCCACATCGGGCTCCCTGCTCCATGGGAGGCCTGCTTCTCCTTCTCCCACTCCCCCTGCTTGTGTTCCTGCTCTCGCTATCTCTCTCTCTGTCAAATAAATAAATAAAACCTTTAAAAAAAAAAAATAACATTATTTGGGGTAGAGAGATTGTCTTGAATGAAAAAGTAGTACATATTTTTACACGTACTAAAGAGATGGACATGCCTTAAGGGGGGAAAATATTTCCCCCTACTTAGAGATAATACTGTTAACATTTTGGTCTTTTTATGTCATCTGTGTGATACACACACACATACACACACACATCATTCATATATATGTGTGTCTATGTGTATAAATATATGTGTGTATACACACATATATTCCTATATATGAGTGACATAGGAATAAGAAAACTAAAATGTTATTTGATATATATATATGCAGAAATAATGCATTTGCATGATTAATAATGACCTCTTAACACTTCAGTGTGGGTATACACAGCTTACAGGTAAATATATACATACCTGAACTTATTTATTTGCTTTTAAAGTTTAAGTAATCTCTACACCCAATGTGGGGCTCAAACTCACAACCCTGAGATCAAGAGTCGCATGCTCCACCAACGGAGCCAGGCAGGCGCCTGCTGAATTTATATTTAAAACATCTATTTGGGGCATTTAACTTTTTAAAGTTGAAAGTTATTGCAGTCAGAATTTCAGAGAGTTTTTTAATGGCAAACTCTTAAAAATGTATGTAAAGTTCATCTGGAAGGATAAATGACTAAGAATAGCTAATAAAATATTTGAAAGACTCATATTGATTTGCCTCCTTAACTTCCTATTTAATGTCCAGTGGACATCTCACACCTAACACACTCAAAGCCAAGCTTCTGATCTTTACCCAGAAATTTAACTTCTAGCAGTATATCCTAAGAAAATAATCAGAATATACAGAAAAAGGTATTTTTAAGTTGGAAAACATATCAAGAAGAGGAAAAACTATGAAAATTACTATGTCTATCTCACACCATACACTAAACTGGAATCCAAATGGATTATAGATTTAAGTGTAGACAAAAAGTATAGAATTACTAAAATAAAATATGTGTTTAATAATATGGATGAGAACTATATTTCTAAGCTAAAAACAAATGAAGAAACAATGAAGAGGAAAAAAAATCAATTGATTTTATTTTTAAAAGGCTCAATCTTTCTGCATGCCCCAAAACACCATAAATGAAATTCAAAAGCAAAAAGAGAAATGAAGACTTATGCAAAGTTAGGTATACACATGACTACTAAATATATATGTATTAACGAAGATACAGATTAAGACAATAATGAGATACCATTTTTACCTAATAAAGACATACTTACATATAGTATTTGATAGGTTGGAAAAAGTAAGTACTCAGATACTGTATAGGGTTCATACTGTGTTAATCTTTTCCCTCCCCAAAATTTGGCAATATAAATAAAAAGCTTTAATTTTTAAATAATTTTTGCCAATATTTTAGGAAATATGCATAGGTGTGTAGTGTGTTAGGATATATAGGAAAGAAGTTTGAAAGGATGTAAATGATATTAATGATGATAATGTTTATTAAACCTATTTTTTATAATGGACATCTATAACTTTTATAAGAAAAAACTACTAAAATCATGTGTGCACACTTTTTAATCTTAAATTACATTCTCAGCATAGGAGATAGTGATATGTTGAGTATAAATCGGGACATAATTTCTGGAGGACAGTGTATAATATGTACACTGTACATATAGAAGCATATGCAAAATACTCTTTGGTTCTCTCAGTTCTAATTTTAGGAGTTCCTATTGAGGAAATTATCAGATGCAAACTGCCTGGCTTTAAATCCCAGCTCCACCACTAACTATCTTTGTGATTTCACATGAGTTACTTCATCTTACGGTGACTTATACTGCTCCGTGATAAAATGATAATATCCTAAGATGATTGTGAAGATTAAATGAGTTAATACATGCGAAACTCTTAGAACCAAGCCTAGCATATAGTAAGAACCCCAAAAATGTTAGTAGTCGTTGTCTTTGACATTGTTATTATTAGAGCTACACGTGTCAGCTGCTGAAAGGTTTATGTCAGCGCATTGTTTACAATAAGGAAATGTTGGAAACAATGTGGTATGACCCTATGTATATATGTGTATATATACTTGTAACACACAGACACATATCATATAGGTCCTGTACCTTACATAGTGTATACACTTTGTGTAAATAAATATGTAAACATAAAAATATATATGTACATAAATATGAAAAGAGATGCACCAGAATAGAAAAGTGGTTGTTTTAGGGTGGTAGAAGTGATTCCTACTTTCTGCTTATCTGCGTTTTCCAAAATCTATACGGCTAACATATATTACATTTAATTAAAAAATTTCAGTATTTTATAGAATCCTGAAATATTTTGTTTTTTTTTTTTTAAAGATTTTATTTATTTATTTGAGAGAGAGAATGAGAGAGAGAGAGAGCATGAGAGGGGGAGGGTCATTGGGAGAAGCAGACTCCCCGCCGAGCAGGGAGTCCGATGCGGGACTCGATCCCGGGACTCCAGGATCATGACCTGAGCCGAAGGCAGTCGCTTAACCAACTGAGCCACCCAGGCGCCCCAGAATCCTGAAATATTTTGAATGATATAAATCAACTATAAAGGGTTGGGATAAAAAAAGTTGTCACATAGCAACATAGGAATTCACATAGTCATTAAAAATTAAGGTTACTGCCATGGAAAATAAGCATTGATTTTTAAAAATACTACTAAGCATAATATACACTAAGACAATCTGATTTTACTCATTTTTTAAAAGAAATACACTAAATATCAGTAGAGGTTCTCTCTGGGTTGTTAAAATTATGCTACTTTTAATTTTCTTCTTTGTATCTTCCAAATTTTCAGTAATAAACATCTTATTTATAATTTTTTAAAAATAAAGTAAAATATAGTAGAAAGTCATAAAACTTGGGTCTGGCCTTGATTGTGTCTTTAGTGGTGGTACTTTTTCTTTCCAGCCTTCCTTTTCTTCATCTGTAAAACCAGTTTGATTAATTTATAAATTTCTCTCCCGAATCTCTGACCCCCTCTGAAATCTTATTACTAACATACTTAATTTTACCTTTTTGATATGCACTATTTTGATCTAAAGAACAAGACTTAATGTTTCTGATTAATTTTTCTGTGTTTCTTATAGTAGTTCTTGTAGTAACGCCATAGTCTTTAGACGCTGTTTTTGGTTTATTTCTGCAGTTCATGTTCTTTGGTGGAATGAGAGTGCAGACAGTCGTGCCGCTGGGAGACATTGGTCTCATGAGGATCCCAGGGTTGTGGCAGCTGGTAAGCTATTTCACTAGGCATGAAGTATTCAAACCACAAATTCGATTCAGTCGGTAACTTTATATGCCTTCTTATGAAATGTGTTTTTCCAGTTCGGGAGAGTGTCAATTACCTCGTGTCTCAGCAGAATATGCTTCTGATTCCTACATCATTTTCACCTCTAAAATAGTTTTCCATTGAAATTACAAGCATTGCATTAACTGCTATAAGATGTGTCCGCTAATGGTGCTTAAATTCTCCTAAGAGATTCTCACTTGCATTTGAAGAAGGTGGTAAGTTAATTTTCTGTGTCTCTACACTTCTAAAGCCACCTCTATCCTTCCTTCCTCTGTTCCTCTCCACCTTAGGAAATAGTTCTGTTCATTTTCCCTTTGGCATTTCAGTGTGTTACACATTAGAAATAGTTGCTACTACTTGATCTTGATTTTTCATTGGTTTCAGAATATCTCTTGTACTCTCTTTTGACAGCCCTCTGCTTTTATAATGTTTTCTTATATTCAAATGATGATTCTACATTTTGAACCCGGTGTTTTAAAATTATATATAATGTCCATCTTTTCATGTCTGTTTTTTCTGAGATTTAAAATATTTTTGCTCAGTAAAGTTTATTTTGTGATCAAATGGGATTCTAATCTAAAATCAAATATATTTCTTTACCTTGGCAAAGTACAGTGTCATCTGTGTCATCTGTATTAATTATGGTTTTCACATTAATTATGAGTCCCTCTGGGAAAATAATGTTACTAGGTCTCTGTTAAAAACTTCAGAAGACTTGTTTTATGTGCTGAAATGTGTTCATTTATAGTTAATGTTTGTTCATTTTGGATCACTAACAGATACCTGGGACAGCTATTTGTTTTAAAGAGATCTTTATGGTTATGAGAATGGTTGCCTGAATAAAAGCCTACATACCCATTCTGCAGGTTTTTTTATTTGTGTTTTGTATTTATACTGTCTTTTCTAGAGCTTTTACTGTGTTGCTGTAGGGTAGTGACACGGTAACAATTTAACAACTTTATTGTAAATGTTAAGTTACATTAAGAAGGTAACATAATAATCCCAGAAAGTTTTCAGTACAACCACATATTCTAAGGTTTTTCTTAAAACACCTTTAATTTCCATTTTAGTTGAGTGCACCTGCCTTCTAAAACTAGGTTTAGTAATTACAAGCTCTCTTGATAGTCTATATTTAGAGCCATATTATTTTGTGTTTCTAAAACATATTGTGATACAAAATAGTAAATCATGAATTAGCTGTCTTAAGGGAAACTTGGAAAACAAAGTATAGCATAAGACTCCGGATAGAAGAAATGTCTAAAGGATTAAAAAGAAAAACAAAAAATTGAAAGGTGAGATGGATGTTCAGGTGCAGCTTATATTATTAACAGACAAGAATCCAAATAAAAGCTTTGTGATCCAGCTACTGTCATGTTTTCTGCTTCACAGTAAAGCAGAACTCTCAGTAGAGTTACACGTATATGCCCCATCTTTACCTCTTACTCTTCCCTCAACCTGATCCTTGTCAATCTACTGAAATGACTCTTTTCAAGGTCACCAAGGACCTCTGTCTTACCAAATTCAGTCATTTTCTCTGCCTTACCTTGCTTCTCAGCAGTGTTGGGACACCGCTGACCATGTTTGCCTTCCTGAAACACTTGATTCTGAGCTTCAGTATAGGGTGTCAAACTCAGATTTTCCTCCTCACTGGCCAGTGGCTCTCTTTCCTTTGCTGGCTTCTCTTCCAAATGTGGGTGGGATCTCAGGGCTCAGGAATGTTCTCGATCTTCATTCTCTCTAGGTCAGCCCATTTAGTCGCAAGGCTTTAAAAACCATACATGTACTGATGACTTACACATTTTTATCTTCTTTCCCATCATTGTTCCTGAGCACCAGACTGAAGTACGAATGGCCGTTTTAACACAACCATTTACCTAGTTTGAGTCACAAACTAGAAGTCACCTTGATAGCTCTCGCCCTCAACCCCTACATGGAGCTTGTCGGTAATTCCTGTTGGCTCTGTCTCTAAAATACATCCTGAACATTACTATTCCTACGTCTGTTGCTACACCCTTGCCCAATCTACCAACATCTTAGCCTCCCTACTGTTCCTTTTCCCCATACAGCCAGCATTCTTTCTGAAACAGTGATTACATCAAACCACTACCTTGTTTAAAACTCTCCAGTGGTTCCTCATTGCACTAACAATAAAATCCAGATACCTTAACATGGCCTGGGAGGCCCTACAGGTTCTGGTTTCTGCCCCTTCTACCACTCCAGAGATTGGAATTCTCTCTCTCCTTCCCCAACCTGCCAACCTTTTTCCCACTTGGGGCTTTTGCACCAGGTGTTCTTTCTTCCAGGAACATTCTCTCTGCCCACCTTCAAATGTTGGCTCCTTATTTGATCAGATCTGAACTCAGATGTCACTCTTCAGGCGGCCATCTCTGACTCTTCTCCATCATTAACTCATATAACCATGGGTCATTTTCTTCTTAGCACTTACTGTAGTCTGAATTTATTGTATGTGTTTGTCTACACATCCATTGTGAATGCGAGTATGATTTCTCCACTGAAATTTAAGTTCATTAGAGCAGGAATTCAGTCTTCAACACTGCATCCCAGAACCTAGAAAAGTATATGGCACACAACGGAGTTCAATAAATATTGGTTAAATTATTGTATGATGATGCCAGGAGGATTTTATGAGAGCAATTGTTAACTTATACTCACCTTCACCAGAAAGGACCCTCTGCCAGTCTAGTAGCAGCTTAACTTTAAACAAGTTCTTTATCCACTGAGCCACAGTTTACTTGCACATCAAATGGTACTGCTTACATCATAGGGCAGATAGTTAATTAGGGAGTAAATGAAGTGCCTGACAGTAAAATACTTGAAAAAGGTAGTTAGTTAATTTTCTACCTTTTCATATTTAATATATACATTATCATTTCAAAGGTTCCAAGGTTCTTTTGAACCTACAAATGTGTATATAGGCTCTTCTCTAGATAGGTTTTCCTCCAGACTCATGGGTGACTTACATGGTTATCTAAATTACTTGCCTTTTCATCTTTCAGTAGCTTTCTTCTCTCGATTGTCATTTTTCACAAAGAAACACAGTTTTCTATCATTTCATTGAAGTCGCTGTAATGTGACCTTTAAGAGGGAAAGACACAGCTGCGATGCTGATTCCAAGTGCTCAAGAAGGCTCACTCACAAACCGAGATCCTTCCTCTGCACGCAGTGGGATGCGCGCCTTAGCAAAGGACCACTCAGCACCTGTCCTCAGGGCCGTTAGGAGAGGCCCCACAACTCCGCTATGCTGCCTACGAGGGGGAGTTTGACAGAGGTTCTTCAGGTACCGAGATAAGCAGACATCTTTCCTGAGACTTTGCTAGTGAGCTATGAAAATTACATCCACACGTCTCGTCACAGCCCCACATAACCCTGGCTTTCGACTGCACAGCACTTTTTACAGGAGAAAGGGAAGGCACCTCCGATGTTCCTCTACTTTTTCCACTTTTTCTGCGTGCTCACCTAGGCCACTACACCCAGCAGACCTTGCCAATACACTTGGCACACACTGTCCTTGTATTTTCAGTTTAACGAACAAAAGACCTCTGAAGGCGGCCTTTGTAGCTTCAACAAATAAAGTAGTGAGGTTTTTATCAAACAGACTTAGCTACGGAGTATTTCCAGAGAGCTCTCTAGCTTCAAAAATCAATAAGCTGAATACGTTTTACCTAAAAACCTCTTAAACTTATTATTTACTATCTTAACTGAATTATGAAAGTGTAAACACCCTTCATCTGCAAGTAGTCCCCTCAGTTCTCTTTTGTAACAGGACACTTAGACTTTTCTAAAATTTCTACCCTTGAATCAAAGAGCTTCCCACTACAAGTGGACGTTTCTTACTTTCCTAATGTCTTCACAAGCTTTAACAGTAGGTGGTGCTACGAATGCACGGAAATAAATTTGCACAGACCAGCAGAACTGTCACAGCTTTATTTCGTGACTCATTACAACATAGAAATATGCTTTTTTAATACTTCATATAAAGTTATTGACATACAAAATTTTTTTTCTTTTTTTTCCTTTTAATGAAAATGATTTAACTTAGAAATCTGTTGTGAAACTTTTGTCTAGTTTTGCAATTCTCAGATATTCCAGTGCAAAAATAGATCCCATTAGAGACAGCATAAAGTGCTTGGAATGAAGAGCCAATGATAAAGAAAAAGCACAAAAACATAGCTTCATCCTAGGGTATAAGAAGAGAGAATACTTAATCCTTATGGAAATAGAAACATTCTATAAAAGGGATGCAACAATTTTGAAGAGAATTAGAGCTATATTACTAGGGTACTATTACTAGTAAATAGTAACTAGGGTACAAATTAATATCTCAGTATCAAAGTGGTTCAATATTATATATGACACATGGCTCTTTGGAAAAAATTTTACCTGATATATACAACCACGAGAAGAAAACAGACAAATCCCTTTCGTCAATGATTACAGTGAATGAAAGACGTGCAACATTTAATTGTCACAATGCACACGCTTTCAGTACAGATATTGAAATACAGTAGTCTGAGGTTTGGCTGTTTTTTAATAATGAGCTGTGCTGGATGTTTATGTATGTATAAAGGGCTTTGTGATTGTTTTCTTTTGTATTTTTCATATTCACAGTTGACAAAAGTTTCCAAGGTGTCCAAAAGAAGCAAAAGCGGCAAACTTTGGACACTTTTTTGAGAATTTTCGAAACTCACATACTTATATTTCCACAGGGAATATATAGAAATTTTACTTGAGTAGAGTTGGTAAAAAATTCTACTATAATTAGGTTTACACAGGGAAATGTAAAAGATTACTATTTGGATAGTTTAAAAGGTAACAGTGAAGTCAGTGTGTAGCTATAGATTGTTTCTAGCTGCAGAAGAGATCCTTGGAAATCTATATTGAATTTTTTTTTTTTTTTCAAAACAGTTCACAGTGTCTTTTGATTTTTCTAAAATATGGCCTTGAAGTCAGAGTAATTAGAGCCAGGAGCTGCTCAATGATTTAATAAAATAGAGAATTAGAACATGATTCTAGTGAAATGGGAAAATAACAAAAGTTTGATTTTGAAAAATATTAAATAAGGAGAAACTAAATTACTCTATGAATATTATATCATTAAAGATTGCACAAAATATAATGACCTCATCATGCCAATAGTTACTAGAAATGGGCCTTCATTACTTGTTTATCATTTTAGGAAATATTGGCATTAATTTCTAAGTCATTTTCTTTTGCTGAACAAGTTATGTGATAACATTCTGTAAATTTTAAAAAATAGATTTGAAATAGATGTGAATCTTAACAACCTTTAGTTAATATTTAAATTTTAGAAAAAGAAATTCGTAATGATATTGAAAAATGGCTTAAATTTCACCCAGTAGTACTTTTTTTTGTTGTCTCAAAACAGATCACATTAAGCATTAGTGAAATATTTTTTTAAGTGTTTATTGACTAAAAAAATAAGACTGGATCAGAAAAGTCAAATGTATTTCATGGGGCATTTGCTTTTTTTTTTTTCATGAGAAATTTAGGACTGAAGAGATGAAAAGTTTGAGATTGTCAGAATGGGGTATCTAAGATCTTCAAAGCCAATTTTCTGACAGTACCAAATATACCCATAAGCAAAGTAACACAACTTCTGCTTCACACAGTTTCACAAAATGATTTTGTTAAAGTATTCATTGTTTAGTCTTGTGACCCTTATGACAGAATTTTTTGGCTTTTGCACTGTTGCTATTTAAAAAAAAAAAAGGCTGCCCAGTATTCACTGGGATCCCACAACCACAACAAAAAAACAACCTATATTTGTAAACCTGTTAGCTGAATAACATAGCACAGGATATCTACTGAGACTTAATTCCTCCCCACCCAATCCATCCATACACAGTCAATTCAGCTATAACATACACTCAAAAAATACTTGATTAACAAGCTGAGATTAAGAGTATTTTGAATGATCTTAAAGAAACTCAAATATAATGCTGTCATGAGATCTTGGCCACCACATTGTTTTCTGGTCACCAGGCACTAATCAGAGGATCCATCTGCAAGCTTCCATGAGAAATAAAGCTAGTGAGGCAATGGGGTCTTACTCCTCTACGCCACGGGGTTCTACAAAGAGGCCATTCCAAGGGATTCACAAGTCACTGACAGAACTTAAGATTCCAAACAACATTAAAAGTACAAAGATTTTTGTCAAAATACAACTCTATCCTTTCATATTCTAGATTAATTTAAAAAGCTAGAAATAATACTACACTTGTGTCAAAAAGGAAGATCTTGAGATGCAATGTACCGTGTTAGCAGACAAACAGGACAAATGGACACAGGCCTCCCGAGGTTTGAACGAGCCATCTCCTTAATCCCGTGACCTGGCCTCAGCAGCTTGCAGCCTCAACAGTTTGGCAGCTCTTTGCTGCTTACCAGGATCTAAGTATCTTCAGAGAGTCCCAGAAAAATGGCCCTGGAGACCTATGGAACCAAGTCGCACCTGTCTTGAGCTACCCACACCTGCAATGTTACGGCCACACCAGAGCAGCTCATCAAAGAGGGAAACAATGGAGGGCCTTCCCCATCCAGGGCACCATTCTGTCACCTGATAATGATGCTGATGGACTCTGAAGCAGAACAGCTGTTGCAAAAGTGTGCACGACACACCACGGTCCTTCAGGCTTTCTGAGAAACTTGGCACTAGTCATTCTGGCACAGTCATCGCCAGCAATGGATGTGTCGCCAGGAAACCTGTCTCCTGGCATGGCATGGCTTCGTGAATGAAGATGCAACACGCCTTTTGATTTTGATAAATAATCACTGGCCATGATTATTTGATTAATTATTGTTGCAACCCCAGTGAGAATACAAAGGAACAACAACAAAAAAAAGTGTGATTTCAAACCCATATGTCCGCTGGGTTCCATACTAGAGTTTCACGTAGGTATAAGGTAATAAACTAAATTCAAGTCTTTTTCACTTGAGAGCCATACGAGACATAGGCTACAAAGGCACTGCCCCTGTAATGGAATTTTGTTTTCATTGCATTGAATTGCATTGCATTGAATAGTATCAGTACAGTATCCAGTTTACTTCTTCCCACAAAAAACGTCCAGCTCTTCTTTTGGAACACTTCACATGGTGCAAAGGAAGGGCTAGTTCCTCCTTTCTTTTAGTCACCCTGTACGAACAGTATTCTTCATACGTAACTTTCTTTCACTTTCTCGTCCTGGAGAAAAGATGTGAGAACTGCAACATCGACTACTGTCTGGTTTTTGTGTAATGACAAGTCCTTTAAGTGGTCATCATCACTTTGGTCCTTGGCAAAGTTTACAAATACCTGTCAAAAGAAAGGTGAACCTTTATAAATACCTCTCTACTTGCTCCTTCTTTATTCTGATTGCATTTCACCAGGTGGAGATTAATTCAGGTAGCAGAATACAAGATCGCATAAGTAGATTAAGTAGAAAACTGTGTGTGAGGGGGACGGGGATACCTGGAAAAAGCATTAACCATTTAAAAAACTGAGCTTCTCTATTGCCCCTCAAATCACCAACTGCTCGATTGTCTATTTTGATTCCTACAGGCCTGATTAAGAGGGAAGAGAGACATAAACTAACATTTACTGAATAGCTACTAAGTGCCAGAATCTGGTTGGTACTTGATGTTATCTAATTTAAATGGGATAAGACACCTGGCAAAATGTCTGGCACATGGTAGGTACTCAGAAAATGATAGTTACTGTGATTATTATTACAACCTATTCTCACAATAACCCTCTAAAGTAGAGAGAATCATCTCCCTTTACACATTCAGAGCGGTTTAGTAAAAAGCACAGCTGGTGGTAAGTCAGAAATTCAAGCTCAGACAGTCAAATCTAGGACCCATAATGGGAGTGGGGGAGAGGAATCAGGAATCTTCACCCTGAAAAGTCAGTCTGTTTTGGACATTCAAAGCTTACTTGGTCAAGTGTTGTCTGAGAAACAGAGTAGTCTTCTATGTGGAGTCTCTTTTTGCTCTGGGAAAGGATACTGAATATCCTGGCCAGAGAAGATAGTGAAGATGGAAGCTGGTATTGTAGCATGTTCCGGTGCTTCTCTTTGAGGACACTTCCTGGAAAGGCAAGTCCAAAGAACTCCTGGACAGGCTTCAGGTCAGGGTTGGACCCTGCTATCCGTACCACTATTGTGTAACCATCTCCAAACCTGAAAGCAGAAGAAAAAAAAAAACAATGGAAGATCCTCAGGAAACTTCTCAAAATAATATGTAACTCTACTCAACTTGAAAAAGTAAACTCCCCAACAGACCCAGAAATAAGTATCTGAGAGAAGGAACTGGTTACCATTTACTGAGTATCTATTCTACGTGACGTGCCATGCCAAGTGCCTCAGATACACGATTCCATTAGATCCTCACCTGGACACGTGAAGTCTGACATGTGACAGAGAAACTGAAGCCCAGGGAGTTAGTCACTTGCCCATGGTACAGAGCTCCTAACTGGTAGGGCCAGGATGTAGACTCGTTTGTGTTTGACTCCAAAGCCTAACCATACTGACGTGTAAAATTCCCCACCGCATTTGTTTAGCAGAGCCAGAAAGCAGATATTCCTAGGATACAGACTCAGAGAGGTTAAGTGATTTGTCCAAGGGCACACACCAGGAAAAGATAAAGAGAGAATTCAAATCAGTCAAGCCTTGTTTGACTTCAAAGCCCTCATTCTTTCCACTATACCCTTTTGTTCAGTTTATTTCCCCTTATTTTAGAGCCACCATTTATATGCTCACAAAAAGAATAAGCACAAGTGTTCTCAGTAGGTGTTATCCCCAAGAAATTATCCTTGTTACCTATTTTTCAGATGTTGGACGCTGCCAAGACACCTGAACCTCCCATTGACCATAATTGCCATCCTAGTGCAGAGAGCTTCACATTCTTCCATACTGTGGGAAAACAGAGATTTTTGTTTTAGAAAGATGCTCCTCTAACCATCCAAACATCATAGGACATCTGGAATTTCAAAGAAATAGATTCCCAGCTTCCTAGGGCATAATTGCCTCCTATTACAAATACACCAAGATGTAGGGATAACGCTGTTTACAGCCATGCTGTTTACACTTAAAAAAAAAAAAAAAAAATTTGGAAACAGTCCAAATATCTACAAAAAGAGGAGGAGTTAAATAAATTAGGGTATTTCCTATTGGAATACGGTCTACTCAGAGCTATAAGAAATGATGACACATCTAAATGTACTGACTTGAAATAACGTTCACAAAATACTAAGTGAAAAAGAACAGTGTATGTACAAAGCTTGCATTTTTGCTTGTAAAAATACACACACGCCTAGTGTACGTGTGTGTGTGTGTGCGATTTGCACAGGAAAACTGCAAAGATATATAGCCCAATGACAGCAATGGTTGTGTCCTAGTGGTAGAATTTCAGGTGATTATCACATTTTCTCTTTGCCTTCTATACTTTCTAATTTTTATACAATGACCACATTGCTACTTGGAAAACCTTAAACACAACACAGATGCCACGCCAAGTCTTCACCACTGACCTATGAGATGTAAGCACTACTGATCTGCCTTCCTTGACAATACTTAGGGCACAATTCCACAAGAATCGCCGGGCTTTGGGGTCCATGCCTGTGGTAGGTTCATCCTGTAATTAGAATAAAATAAGTCCTATTATTTGTTAAAAACACAATTTGTTTTTAAATGCAGAAGCATCTTTTTTCAACTTACCAGTCTAGTTATTTCTTAATAGACCAAAGAACCAGACCTCACATAGAGCAGTAAACTGCATACTTGTTTGTAACCAGTTCACTCTTACCAATGTGTCATTCAAGTAGGAAACTCAAATTTTTTATAAAATTAAATTTCTCCAAATGAATAGGAAGGGAAAGGAAAAAGCTATTTAGTTTCAATCATCTTTTCATGACTGACAAGTACACACTAAAAATTCTTTTTGTCTGAAATCTCTATTAAAGTCCATATAAGGTTTGGGTAAAATTACTTTTTTTTATTCTAGCTCATTACAGCTTGGCCTGTTACATTGTACTTGCTAGTCTTAGAGAAACAAATTGCAGATCCAAATGGTCCAGATAACATTAAAGCCTTAACCCAAGGCTTCTTCCTGTAATCATTTCCAAGCAGAAGAAAAAGGGTCAAGGGGCTATGTCCAGTTTAATCTTCTGTTTTCCATCTATTTGTATGTTAGGACAATGACCCAGGTGCCACCCTGGGGATCTTGAAGCTGTGTCCACAATCTCCATCTTCAGGAGATGAACACATAGATCGTCAGAAACAATGTTCCAGAGAAAGGTCAAATCACATATCCAAGACTCAGCCACATTGCCGGGATTCCCCAACACCAGAGAAACAAGGGCCCTGGAGCACCTCTCCTTTGGAGCATCGGAGGGCATGGCAAAGCCACCCCAGTGTGTATCAAGGAGAAGAACAAAGGAACTTCCTTCCCTCTGGTTTTCTAAGGCTGCTCTGCCATTCCTGGTCGGAGGAAGGATGGCATGCCGTTAGCCAAGCCAGTCCGGCAATATCCCTGGACGTACAGGACTTCAGGAAAGTGATGTTTTCCATTCAGGCCCAAACAAGAGTGCTCCATGCACAGTCATACTCACCAGAAACACGACAGGGGGCCCGCCGATCAGAGCCATGGCCGTTGAGAGCTTGCGCTTGTTGCCTCCACTATAGTTACCAGCATATTTTTCTCCATACTTTACAAGGCCCAGTTTCCGAATTGCCCATTCACCAACCTAGAGTATAAAAAGGACCTTGACTTTCGTCTGATTTGTTTATCATGCCTTCTTACACTTGTATATGATTCTTTACAGAGTAGGACTAGGAAAATTCTTTTCACTGAGTAGATTGTATAATAGCAAGTGCCAAGGAGCCAAAAAGCAGGGGGAAGGGACTCGTAGGGGTGGGCACAGCACTTCCTCTCTGTTCTCCAGCACGTGTCTGTCCACTCACCCCTGCCCCCACCCCCACCCCCACGGACTCCCACCCTGCAAAGTAGGTGCAAAAAGCCAGCATTTCATATTGCTGCATCCATGAATAAAAAGAGCCTGAAGCCAGTGGTCATTTGTAAGGTATACTGTCAGCCTGCCGAAGGGGGTAGGCTGGCTTCTGGTGCCCACCATACCTTGCCAACTTCTTTCTCTGGGACTCCTCTCAAGAGGGCAAAGAACTCCACATGCTCTCTTCCGGTCAGTAACTCCGTGATGGCATCGAACTGAGGGCAATAGCCCATGTTCTGATGGACTTCATGGATGTCTGATAAGATACTGCAAAGGAAAAAAATGGTCAGGTTTTAAGCATTTAGAGAGATTCTGATTGGACAGTTTTGTCTCATGTTCCTATAAAGCATGCTTGCACATGACAAAAATAACCAGTGATCACACTTGCTGTAGCTTGAAGGAATAAGCTTTCTGCCCCACGCCCTCTACCCCCCAGGGGCCAGCCCCTCTGGCAGTCAGGGTTCCCACCTCTGTCCTGCCTACTGCTTGCACCTGGCTCTCCCAACACCTCAGTCTGCAGGCTCAGTCCCATTTCAAGATTCCCAAGTCCATCCCAACTGCAGCACTACCTCTACCAACAATCTCACTCACAATCCTGGGGCTTTAACACTAAGTCTCCATCCCAGACTTGACCCTGTGATCCAGTCATACATACCAAGTACTCTGCTACTCCAAAGTCTCCCTCATGGCCATTCAGACCCAGCGGAGGCCCAGCAAATCTGGGTGTGACCTCCCTCCCTCTGCTGTTTGCTGCCCATACATTGACTCGGCCACGACATGGTCTAGACCCCCTGGTCCCACTATTTACCCGACCCGGGCACCCTCCTGGTTTTTAAGGGCTTTGTTTTGGAGATTTTTTGTTTTATTTTGTTTTTGTGTTTGATCACAGTCTCTCCGAAAATCTGGTGACCAAAAAATAATCTACATACACAGCTTTAAATATATTGGTGGAAGCAGCTTTGGGGCCCAATGAATCCAATCTCAGGTTAAGAATCCTTGATGTGAGAGAAGCTCAGTGTCCCATCCAGTCTGCTGGCTACACATCAGCCACCTCTGGACAGCGTTTGGCCTTTGTTTGGTCTTCTAGCAGTGTTCATTCCCTTCTGCCTGTTTCACCCTCCCAGGTCCAGACCTTTCCAGAGTTATGATTGAGAGGCCCACAGACGCTGTGCCTGGCCCTCCCAGCAACACTGCCCAAGCCAGCTCTTGCAACAGGTCGCTGTGATAAACCTTAGTTTGAGCCTACTGCTCCCATTGCTTTGTATCCCAGGAACCTGGTAGAAGGAACAAGCCTGGGGAAGCAGACGCACAGTCTTAGGCCTGCTATTCCAGAATTTCTGTTCTCTTAAACCTTCTCTACCCTGCTACTGAAAAAACTGATAAGAGACAAAAGAGGGGACCCATGAGTACATTAAGTCCCTCACTCTTTTCAATTTTATTGGCTATTAGCCCCCTATCTCTTATTTCTAAATTGTGAGTCATCACTCATTAGTGAGTTACAAAATAAATTTAGTGGGTCATAAGATTGATTTTTTTTTTTTTTAAGATATGCCTGTTTATGTGATTTTGTGTATTTACTAGGTTGAGAGGTAAATGTATTTGCTACAATGGGTCATGGTCAGAAAAGTTCAAAAGCCACTGTCTTACACCACCTCTCCATATAAAAAGCCCAGAGAAACCCCACATATTTAGAGTACCCAAGGGTAACACTGCCTAATAGGTCTCTAAAGTGGAGGTGCGCCTAAAGATCAGATTGCTTAGTGACCTGTGCATTCTCAGATAATGGCCAACTGTGGCCTCGATAATTGATACCCTTTAGGGAGGGCAATTTGGCAAGTACATACCCTTTTACCTTATAGGAATGTTCCCTGAGGAAATAAAAGACGAATACAAGGACATATTTACATAGTCAAAAATAGAAACTAATAAATGTCCAGCAATAAGGAACTGATTAAATAAACTGCAGATAAGTGTACGGGGGGGGGGGTTATGCAGCAACGCAAAGGCTACATCTTAGAATATGCAACCCATTAAGAAATGTCCATACTAGACTCATTAACAACAGACTAATTTCAAAAATCTAGATATAGTATGATCTTAATTTTACAATACATTTTATATGTGTAAAATAGAGAGTTTGGGGGTGGTGGGAATGTTCTAAAACGATTGTGGTGATGAGTGCACAGCCTTGTAAATCGAATAGAAATCACTAGAAATCACTGTACTCTTAAGACAAGTAAACTATATGCTATGTAAAATTATACCTGAATAAAGCTGTTAAAAAAAAAAAATAAGAGGGAGACTGGGAGAAAAAAATGTAAATAGTAGTTATCTTCAGATAGTGGGATTATGGATGATTTTTATTCTTGTCTTTACACTTTATCTATTTCAACATTTTTATAAACTACATAGTACCGTTATAGTCAGAAAAATAAAAATATATTTATTTAAATAAAGTAAAAAAAAAAGTCTTTGTGGCAAAATACAGTCCACGTCTTTTCTCACCTATTTTTGTTCAGGAAAGCATCTCCTCTGGTAACAGTGGTATCTCCAGTTAACATCTTGAAAGTTGATGATTTCCCAGCCCCGTTAACTCCCAGAAGTCCAAAGCACTGAAAGAGATTGGTAAGCTGTTAAAGCAAACTTCCAATAATCTGAATATAAATGACCCTTATAAAAGAGTCACCTCAGCTTAGTTTTGAGATGACACGACTCTAAAACGTTCTTAAATGTCAATAAAGAGTCAAATTTTGGGGGGTTTTAAGAACTTCTATAGATATTTAAACATTTATAATGAGACATATTCAGCATATTTGTAAATACTGGAGCTGTCAGGTTGAAGTCAAAGTTAATGTGTAAAAAACAGTAATGAAAGCCAACCAAGTCACATTTCACCACCTAATTTGCCTAAAGGGCATAAAAGAACACAAACATGAACGAGAAAAGAAAAAAACCTACTTAAAAATCTATTTGAATTTCATCATCATCTTGAATGGATCACAAAGACACATTTTGGATGTGCATTCTTAAACTGCCTGAGATTATCCAAAATTTTTGCTTTTTGACATATGGGGTCCCCATCTTCTCAATGACTGATTGCTCCATATAGACATAAATAGAGAAAGTTTTAAAAACTATTTTCAACCCTTATAGATGTTGTTGTTTGATTGGGTAGATAATCTGAATTAACAAGGGCGAGTACAGTGTAGACAGTGCCTTTACCTCGCCAGGTGGAATGCCAACGCAAATCCTGTCAACAGCAGGCTTCCTCTTTCTTCTATATATCTGCAACCAACAAAATGCAAAAATTCAAGAGCCATAGTGAATCACAACTATTGTAAGCAACTGGTGAAGAGGGAACTATAACCCAAACACACCACGAAGCAAGGCTCATCAATAAAACTAAGTCACATAGGGCGCCTGGGTGGCTCAGTTGGTTGGGCGGCTGCCTTCGGCTCAGGTCATGATCCTGGAGTCCCGGGATCGAGTCCCCCATCGGGCTCCCTGCTTGGCAGGGAGTCTGCTTCTCCCTCTGATCCTCCCCCCTCTCATGTGCTCTCTCTCTCAAATAAATAAATAAAATCTTTAAGAATAAATAAATAAATATTAAAAAAAAAAAAACTAAGTCACATATTTGATATGCCAAGAGCCATGATCTGTCTCTGTCTGAATGATTCAAAAGCTTAAAATAAAAGTGAAATTTTTATTTTTAATCTATTATCAACCTTTTTAAGAGACATTGGTCATTAATATCTACATAATTTTTCATTTACTTGATATTGTAGGTATTTTAAAAATTAAATTCTAGGGACACCTGGGTGGCATAGGTGGATAAGCATCCAACCCTTGATCTCAGCTCAGATCTTGATCTCAGGGTTGTGAGTTCAAGCCCTGCGCTGGGCATGGAGCCTACATTAAAAAAAATTCTACAGGGCCAAAATGTATAATCTCAACACTGCAAATATCGTACATATTATAAAAAAGTGAATTGGAGTGGGCTGAAACAAACTGTCCTCCTGAGCTACAGGGACATACCAGCTTTTTAGACCATGATACTCAAAAATCAACCATTTATTCTTCCTACCTCAGCTTTGACTGGATATACAATTTTAGTATGTTTTAACAAACACATAAATGTAAGTGTGAGAAACAAATATACTTGAGAACCAGACTTCACATTACATAAGTATTCTCAGTAGGATTTCTTTAATTAAGAAGTCCCCTCGGTATATCTTAAATAAAATTAAATTGATAGAAGTTTGGTCTAGATACACACACTCTTTTCATTAATCAAATCATCAAAAATGCTCATTTCCAACGTATAAAGCTAAAAAAAACTGAAGACAAGTTGTTACAGCCTGTACTCACTGCCTCACCTTAGTCAGCTCCTTGATTTCCAAGATGTCATTCTGTCCTCCACCATCAAGAATTCTCTGTCTTTCCCGCTTCACATCTTCGTCCTCATCATTCAAAGGAGGAAGCTTTGCATCTACAGGTCTTGGGAAAAACATTTTAAGAAAAATCAATATTTCAAGGTATTTTTCAAGACAAAGATCCAATTTCTAAGGAAGTCCTTTAAATCTACTCTCCACAGTTTTTAGGATCAGCAGTGCTGTGGGCTAGAGGATGCCCACATTAGGAAAATTAGCTGGATCGTCTTGAGTTGAATGCAATGCAACCACCACTGACCAGTGATTCCCCGTGTTCTTCTGTGACCCTCAACCAGATGCTCCATGAGTTCTGAGAAAAAGCTCACCTGGGCCTGATGAAGAATCTGTACTGGATGAGAACAGTGATGAGGAAGAATACCACCCCTTCCACGGCCATGGCGAAGAGGTTTCGTCCCACTAAGTCCCAGGACAGTGGCGAAACAAAACGGTTCTCCCCTGGTAGACACAATGCAGAGATCCAGTTAGAATGGAGGCACCAAAGACCATGGCCCTTCCTCAAATTCAGGCTCAAATTTACCTCTGTTCCTAGAAACACCAATGGTTACTACCAATGACAAGGAGGAAGAATTAAGGGAGTGACTACTTCCAAGTCTGATTTAGGGTAGGGTTTTGGGAAAATATACTGTGACTCATTATGAGTCAGAATTTCAGAACCAACATGTATTAGACCTATAATTTCATATCTTATGTTTCCTATTTAAATGAGACATGCCGAAAATCCTTTTTAAAAAGGCAAGCAATCCAGGGTAACTTCTAGGGTATTTTAGCAAACTCTAAGTTGCACTGAAGGAAGATTAGAGAGCACTTTAAAAAGATGCCTCTTGGGGCGCCTGGGTGGCTCAGTCGTTAAGCGTCTGCCTTTGGCTCAGGTCATGATCCCAGGGTCTTGGGATCGAGCCCCACATCGGGCTCCCTGCTCGGTGGGAAGCCTGCTTCTCCCTCTCCCACTCCCCCTGCTTGTGTTCCCTCTCTCGCTGTGTCTCTCTCTGTCAAATAAATAAATAAAATCTTAAAAAAAAAAAAAAAGATGCCTCTTTCAGTAGCATATAATATAACCTAGTGAACCAATTAAATCACCCGGCTTTATGGGAATATTCCTTACATTCCTTATATATCTCCTTTGTACCTGCTAGATGGAAAAAAAAAAAAAAATTCCTCTCCTATGTCCATTAAATAACATGGCCCATCTAGCTATATGAGCCAGTGGATAAAGAATAGTAATGTGGCTACAGGAGAAATATTTTTAAAGACTAAAGACTGAAAGAGCTGCAGTAAATTACCTTTTTATAGACTGTGTAAAAGGCCCATGATTTTCCTCATAGTCAGAGCCAAAGTTTGCACCCTTCCTTCTCATTCTCTGGCCTGTATCGAATTCTCAAACTGCTTTGACTTTTCCAGTGACTAACAAATGCAACCAGTGGCATTATGCCCTGGATTCAGGATAAAGCCACTATTTTTTTCCTTACCTCTAAACCTCCCCTCTCCTTTTTCTCAATGCTATCTGAGACACAGACGAATGTTCTATCCAAAGACCCATGCTACATCCAGGTTCATCGTCATGAACCTTTCCTCAGGGGTGGGAAGTCCTATGCCCCATCACCAGCCTCTTTCCAAACCGAAGTCCGGAGTACCGAGGCTCACAAGAACTGCCATCTCCATGCAAGCACCCTCGAGCCACTGCTGTCACTCACCAAACCTTTCCAAGGCATCAGCCATTGCCTGGTTTTTCACCATGTCAATGAGCCCCCGTCCCAGGCAAAAATGTGGGAAGATCAAGAATACAGACTTCAGGATATCATTGATGTTATTCAGCTTCTAAGAAAAATATAGTAAGACAGAGAGAAACTGAATGTCATTTATGGTTTAGACTAAAAATATATCAAGGTCTGCAATAACGGGAGAGAAGAAAAATTTGATTCCCCGGGGTCAAACTGAACCTTTGAATTCAGACACCAATAAGAGTGGTAGCCACAGTTGATGACATATAATAAAATTTCCTCTTTAGAGGATTTGCAGTAATGCTATGAGTGTGGAGAACTATAAGCCAAGTTTAGAAACACAGTTATGTTTAATCAGAAGCAAATCCATAATAAAATACTGGCTTAGCATTTCAAAAGCAAATTGTTCATGTCTGGGTCCATATTTCAGCTTCAGGATTTTTTTGGCATTTTAACAATTCTTGTATACATCAAGCCAATGGCGAAACATCCAACAATTAAGTTGCTGTAGGCTGGATGCCTTGTGCTAGGGCATAGGGGAGGCAAAGGTTAATAAAGAGTCTCTACTCTGGAGGAAATGAGTGCATCACTGGATAGGTGTTTTACGGGAGGCATGAAGTGAGGGCTTTTGGGAGCACTGGGGACGGAGAGCGCACCTCCCATGGGGCAGGAAAGGAAAGCTTCACAGTTGAGTGCGGTCTTGAGGGGTTGGTGAGATAAAGGAAGTCAGACCTACAGGAAAATGGAGGGTTTAAGGAACAACCAACTCAGATGAAGTTACAGAGTCTTGGGAAAGGGTGTGGTGGGATGTGGCCAGGAAGGGCCGTACAGCTTGCATGCTAAGTTAAGGTATCTGGACAAAGACAATGCCAACAGGAATGGGCAGAGACCCTTAAAAAGACATGCAATTGGAAGAACTGACAAGGTAAACAGTTGAATGTGGGAAATAAGCAAAAGCAAAGTATATATGATGCCCGTACTATTGTCAGCCAGGGTGACCAGGTGGATGGTAATGCCATCCAGTGTGACAGGAATGGCAGGAGAAGTACTAGGTCCTGAGGGAGAAGACGATGAGGGCAGGTCAAGTCCAGGGTATCTGGAAATAACCTAAATGGAGCCACCCGCTAGGCAAGTGAAAACTTGAGACTAGAGTTCTAGGGAACAATCAGGGTCAAAGGCAAAGATCGGGGAGGTAACAACGTAGACACAGAGAGGGGAGTCAGTAAAAGCCTCAGGAACGAACAGCATCACACAGAGACACATCTAAAGCGGAAAGCAAAGATGGCAGAGCACCGAATATTGGGAAGAGCAGCACCGAAACAGAAAGGAGTACGAAAGAACCTGTCGAAGGAAACCAAAGGGCTTGATCAGTCAGAGAAATCTAAGGAAAAGGAGGATAAAGAGGTGCTATGCAAACCCAGAGAGGAGAGAATCCGAAGGACAGAGAGGGCTATGGGGTCAGCCCCACAGACGAGTGGTGTAAGATCCTGATGCGGCGCGGTCCCCTGGCTCACAGAGACGCTCGTCCCTACGGGAGGTGCTCTTCCTGCAGGACTCACATTGTTGGTAAAGAGCTCCAGCACGAAAGTGGCCACACTGCCGTTGATCCCGATGAAGAGGTTCACGCTGGTGAGGACCACGTAGGCGGTGCTGGGGATCTTGAACACGAAGGAGGCTGGGTACATGAGAGGTGTGATCGACCACCTGGTAAGGCACAAAGACAAATGTCCACTGGGGGTCCCCTGCCTTCCCTCGGACTCTGGGCACCACATGCCTTCCACCGCTGCAGAAGTGCCTTACCCGTACAACAGAAGTAGAAGGGCTAGCACGGGCAGGTTGGTAGAGGACACATAGGACTTCTGCTGGAAGCAGATGAAGATGATAATGACCAGTGTGGCAGGGACCACATAGTTGCACTAGAAGTGGAACAAGGAAATGAAGTTTACCCCTAAGTCAGAGACACAACACATCCCAAGTCTTCACCACCACAGGACAAGAAAGGGCAGATAAACAGAGCAGAGAATAACTGAATTAATGAAGCCACATAAAATATTCACCAAAATACTGGACAATACATTCTGACAAGCATTTTACCCTTGGCTGATTTTATAAACTGCATGCCCTTTCCATCTTTCCAACAGCTAAGCCAAGGTGTCACGCTCAGTAAACTTACTGAACGATGGATTCCCAGTCAGAGTAATTATAATTTCACAGGCAGCAAATAAGCTTCCATGATTCTTCCTGGAGATGATTGTGTGTTTTATAATTAATGCTATATTATAGTATGCCCAAATTCAATCTCACATCTATTTATAAGTGCTTACCTCATAACATCAATGTCAGAATTGTTTCATCACACTGAGAATAATTTTAAAGTCTGTCCTGACAGTGTATCAAGCCTTACAATGCAGATATAAAGGCTTGACTACAGGACAATTATGAGAATTCATAACTGGTAGAGCAAAGCAGAGGCAGGGAGGTGAGAGTAGGCTTGTTGGCTGTTAAAAGAATTTGAGCTTCGGACCACGGGGCTCTGCCTCAGTCCCATCCTTCCCCATAGGTTTATCAACAATTTAGATGAAGACCTGCTTTTAGCAAATTTCAGAGTCTCGAAAGCAGGAAGTGACAGATAATACACAGGTAGCTAAGTGAGGTCTCTGAGTTCACAGACTTGATCTTTCATCTCTGAATCCCCTGTGCTTGCCACAGTCAGATACATCATGAGCACTCAGTACGTGTTTACGGAATGAAGTAATTACTGGGGCAAGATAAAAACAAAAACAAATGGATAGGAAACAAGATGCAGTGTAACAGGGATAAATATAAAGTTTAGGTCCAAAAAGTCAACTGTATTCGTGTAGAAGGAAAGAGACCCCATTCACCAATCATTCTGGAAAATGGAAATTTCAGTTCGCTACCAAGTTGCTAACAAGACAGCGCTTCTTCTGCATGCAAAACCTGTGCTGAGGTTTTGAGTGATGAAGGTATGGGATAAAGATCAACTCTCTCTAGACTTGGAACCCTTCACACCAGAGTCTGAAGGGTTAGTTCTGGGCTTGGCTTTTCCAAAGGAACATTAACAATGTGGAGCATGGACACAGAAAGGCAACATATCACAAGGGTGACAAGTCTAAGAGGCTTGGTCTAATCAGCACGGACATCATCCTCACCATCATCACTCGCATTCGTATAGTGCTCTGAAGATTACAAAGTGTGTTCTCATATATCATCTTATGTGGGCAAGACTTGGGTTAAATGAAAGCTGTCTTCAAATACCCAAGGGGCTGTGCAGTGGGAGAAGGATTAAATTCGTTCTGTGTGGCTTACAATTAATGGAAGTCAAGGGAGATATATTTCAACTCCACTTTACAAAAATTAGAACTTCAGAATTCTTTGAAGTCCTTCCTATTGGTCTGAACGGAAACAATCTGTTAGTGCTGGCACAAAACCATATCTGAAATGGATGGACAGGCTTCTGGGTCAAATGTATAGAGTTTCCAAATGAAAGATGGATTTCCTACTAAGGCAAAGAACACCCTGCTTCTGGAGGTGAAAACCTACCAGACAGGGTAGAGGCACTGGAGTTCTAAGAGTCTTCCAGCTCAAAGTTACTTCAAAAAGTGGTCACTTAAGAAATTAGTGGTAGTGATGATAGTGGTATTCATTGCAGTGTAGACAGATTTTCTCTGCGGTGTGAGATCAGCTCTGTATCTGATCCCATATTCAGCGTCATGAGAGTTTACAACAGCCTCTGCCTTTCCTTTTTCATTCACTTTGACTACCGCAAACGCTTTTACAGGAGCCAGAGGCTCTTTCATCCAGTCCCCAGCCCTGATGATTTAGAAAGCAGCAGCAGACTGGGGTTCTTACCATATCCCACACGAAATTGGAAAGCCAGTAGATGACAGGCTTCACTCCACTGATGAACTGCAGGTGCTTCGCTTTGCTGACCCGCTCTTGGATCAGGAACACGACAAAGCTGGCCGGGACGAAGGACATTGCAAAGATGACACAGATGGACACAAGGACATCCACTGATGTGGTCATCCTGAAAAAGAAAGGCAGTGAGGACATGAGGGATCGCCGATGCAGCCGAGAACTCAAGCAAGATACATGCATGCACGAGTGTATGCACACACGCACGCGTGCAAACACACACACACATGCACGCGAACACACACAGAGATCTGAGATGTGAGGCATAGCCCGGAGGGAAAAATCCATTGACCAAATGTATTTTGTTCAGGGTTAAAGATGATTATTTTCAATTTAAAAAAAAACCCTGATAAGGAACACAAGCAGGGGGAGTGGGCGAGGGAGAAGCAGGCTGAGCAGGGAGCCTGGTGTGGGGATCGATCCCAGGACTCTGGGATCATGTCCCAGGACCCTGAGATCATGACCTGAGCCGAAGACATATGCTTAACGAATGAGCCACCCAGGCGCCCCCGGAGTAAGGAAATTTAATAATTTTTTTTCTGCCTTTGTTTTCCACATCATCTACCAGTGAGTAAGCAGCCCCTGTTCCTTTTGGCACTTGAACATCTCTCCCTGGGCTTTCTGTGGATTCCAAGGATGCAAATGGTGAATGCTTTCACCACCGGTGCCACCGCCCCCCTCACCAGGCAGGCCCCACATTTGGGGGCCCCATCCCAACAGGTGACATCACAGCAACTACAGTTGAGTGTGTCACACACCTCGGGGCACTTCAGCCAGACAACTGAAGATCTATTCTCTTCAGAGGGTACAAAATATCTTTAGCCACATGATCAACCAGTACAGAGACACAAGGAGAGCAGGAACACAAGCAAGGGCAGTGAGAGAGGGAGAAGCAGGCTTCCCACTGAGCAGGGAGCCCGATGCGGAGCTTGATCATGAACCAAGCCGAAGACGCTTAACACCTGAGCCACCCAGGCGCCCTGTGGTTGGTTGGTTTTCAATAAAGACTTAAACCAAAAAAAAATAAAAATAAATAAATAAATAAATAAATAAATAAAACCCTGATAATTAAAATGCAAAACTGATTCCAATGAGGCAAAAAAGAATCCATTGCCATAATGAAATTATTTTTTTAAAGATTATTTATTTACTTAGAGAGAGAGCGAGAGCATGAGCAGGGGGAGCAGCAGAAGGAGAGGGAGAAGCAGACTCCCCGCTGAGCAGAGAGCCTGACACGGGACTTGATCCCAGGACCCTGGGATCATGACCTGAGCTGAAGGCAGACGTTTAACCGAATGAGCCAGCCAGGCACCTGCCATAATGAAATTATTAAAGGAAGTCTAAGAATGCCAAATGGCATTCACTTTGGCCTTCTGTTCTTGACCCTTAAGAGCATTAAGTTGTAAATGTTCACACATACAGTACTAGTATACCTTGAAAATGAAATAAAGCAGAGAAGTATTAGTGTGAAACTATTCAAGTAAGTTAATTTCTGGCTGTAAATAAAAGTGAAAACAATAGTGTGTGCTTATCAATCTAACAAATAGCAAAAATTCTATCAGATTCTATTAAAGGAGAACAGTTATAAGCTCATTAAACAGGGCATAACAAACTATTTTTATATGTACTAATTGTATATAAACTTGGTATAAAGATCCTATTAGTATATACTGATATTCCATATGAGTTAAGCAGAAATAGCTGTGCCACGCTCTGGACACAGGAAAGACTCTAACGTGTTGAATATCAACAATGTGTTGAGTTGAGTGCTGGACTTGGCAATTTACATGAATTGCCTCATTTAACACCATACATATAGAAACTTAGAAACCGGAGTCAAACACAGATCTCTAGGATTCCAAAAGTTACGCACTTTAAACTGTGATATACTGGCTTCAAACTTCACACACACACGCGCGTGCGCGCGCGCTTCATCCAGGAATTAAAAGGACAAGCTGATAAAAGCATGCTTCACCAAGTTTAGGAAACAGTGGTTTCAAAACTAATAAAACTGGTTTTCTATGAAAGACTGTGTTAACGGTGAGTTAAATTATTTGAGGATTTTATTGACAATGTCACTTTATACAAATTCACTCAAGGTAATGGTTTTTGATCCATCAGAATCCTGGATCTTCTGCAGTTTAATCCCTGCCAGCCAGTTCATGAAGTGATCATTTTCTGCCCAGAACCCGAATTCACCCGGACCTACCGTAATGTAACTGTATCCTCAGCCAGCACTCTTCAACCAACTGCACACTTCCCTCCCCTACTCCCCAGCTCCACCAACAGCCTCTCCTCTCCTCACCCCACCCAGGCAGACTCAGCCACACTTACAGAGCCACTTCCGAGAGCTGCTGCTTGGTGAGATTCAGGGGGTGATTGAAGGCAGTAATCCCATACTGGCTGGGGTTCTCTCCCTTCTGCAGGCTGGCCCGCAGAATGGCATTGTTGATGACGTTCAGGAAAGAGCTGATGGCATGCCAGCCCTTGTTGTTGAACCACACCTAAAAATAAAAGACACCAGGTACAAAGTAATGCTTCCAAATCCTGCTCCCGGGGGTAGGTGTGCATGCACATTTTCGAAATGCCAGTCGTACACCAAGATAAAACATTAGCGTCGGAGGACATGGTAAAGTACTAAAAGAGACCAGGGTATGTGGAGCACTGACCAAACGGCCAGGCACCGCGCTGCCTACCTCGGATCTTTAACTCATTCAATCCTCACCACAGCTTTAAGGCGTGACTCCTGTCTCAGTTTCTAAGATTAGGAAACTGAGGCTTAGATAGGTTAGTGAATTTGGTCAAGGTCACAGCGGTTCCCTCGGTATGTCTGGCGGTAAAGCCAATTCTCTTTACCACCACACTGTCTGGCCTCCACGGTAAAATTAGTAGTCTGCTCTTTTCTGTCATGAATACGCCTATCAACATTATGAACTGAAAGTACTTAGTTTATCAAGAAACTACTGGAACAGAGGGCCTCACCTTGACATTATTTTTCGTGTCCAGTCCTGTCATGAACCTCCCCAAGCTGCTGAGAAATCGATCTGCAGAACTGTCCTGTGAACAACAGAAACCTGCCTCAGTTGGGATGATTCACAATTCACAAGGGAAAGGCAACAGGACAATCCTACGAAGGGCCACATCGTTACTGCCTTGTTCACCTGAGTGAGATATGAAACCACTGCAGGACTGGCGCCCAAGAAATAAGTGACCAGAAATCTAAAGCATTCATGTTGCCATAAACCACATGTTTTGAAAGAATCACAGGGACACCCTGTGACTTCAAGTCCCAAGATGCAGAGGTCTCAACCGGGTGGTGAGCATTCTTCAAAGCAGTCCCCTGGGTGTCCCCCTGAGACCCAGAACTACGCTCCATGGGCAGATGGGTTGGGTATGCGGGGTCTGGGCCTTAAAAGCCGAGTTACAGACGCTAGGACTATTGCAGATGCCCATGGTCCTGAAATCCATGCCATCGGAGCCCTCATTCTCATTTAAAAAATGGGAAACCCAAAATACTGAGAAATGAAGTGACAGCCTCCAAGGTCCTGCCGCCAGCCTAAAGGAAATGATTCATGTTTCAGGTAAGTGGGTCTGAAGCCCAGTTTATTTACTTCATGAAGTTATTCTGAGAGCTTTTAAACCTCTGAATTTTTTTTTTGATCTATGTTTTCAGATACTAAATATCTGCTGAGTAGCTCAGTCTTTGCTGGCACAAGATCAGTAGATGCCAATAATGGCTTTGGATTCAAAGTCTTCAAAACAGTAAGTGGCAAGGTGATTAGATGTACCTGCCAACCACTCCCACATAGTGGCAACTCTGGGCCCATTTTTCTGACATGTCCTAGGATGGATACCGTACCTTGGCCAGCTTCAAGTGCTTCTTCACTTGCTTGATGGCATTATTAACTTCTTGACTTGAAGGAAGTGAATGAGAATTACTTGCACCCAGGGAAAACCCTCCATACCTAAAAGAACAGCCTAACATTAAAATACAGTATGGTACACAGCATCATTCAGCAGCAGACATCACATGAATGTGTGCAGGCTTCATGGAGGGGAATTGCTTATTCAAAGCAAGACCAAAGTTAGACTTGGAGAAAGCTGCATCTTGGCCCCCTCTGAGGACTTCTGGCAAGCTCTTAACTCTTATGGTTACTGCCCAAGGACTGTGATTACACACAGCATGAGATGGCTGAGACCCTGAGGAAAGAACGGTCTTTCCCCTCACAGATGCTCCTCCGCCCACCCTGGTGGCCCCAGCCTGCACTTGCATGTGGGTCTCTGGGTGTCAAGGAATGTTTAGGACATGTGGCTGGGGAAACACACCATAGCTCTTCCCTAGCATGAAGGCCGCTTTAGGGGTCCCAGTCTGCAACTGCTCTGTGCCAAGTTCTGTGGGTGCTGGCCCTTGGGAAAAAGGCAAAGAGGAAAGGTGGGCAGCAGTGACAGAGCTAAGTTTTGGGGCAGCCATATAAGGCATCTCATTCTCTAGGAAGTACAAACTGGCTTCAAGTGTTTTTCATTCCTTTCTTCCCTAGTGCCACCTGGTTCCTTCAATACCGAGAGAGATAAAGGAGTTCAAATACTGTGAAAATAGATAGCTTTGATGCCTCTTATTTCATCCAAGACCTTCTTGGTCTCATTCTAAAGGCCTGAAAAATTGTCCTGGAGTCCCCAGGACCCCCTTGGGAATCTGATTTGGTGGGGAGGAAATGTAAATAGAGTAAGGTATTTCCCTCACAACACTGTGCTTCCCGGTTAAATCTCTAGAGACCTCCAAGAAACTGCTGAATCTCCTCAAGGGGATCAGAAGGCCAAACATTTCAAAGGCATCTGAAGTGGGAGCTGAGCACCTAGCAGAAACATCAAGGGCAAAACAATCCCCACACCCCAACATCCTGGGATCTGAGATACCAGGATCAAAGTCATCCTTCTGAACTACAGGAGTCCAGACAAAATACAAGCGAGCACAGAGAGAGATCAACTTACCTAAACTCATTCACCCAGATCTTGTTCTTTAAACTGCAGAAGCCAGAGAAAAAGAAACCAAAAATCAGTTCAAAAAAACATTGATCCTATTCCTGATAACACAAAAGAAGTTACTATCTACCTAAGGAGACAAGCCAGGACAGAAAGAATCCCGTGATTAGGCTGGGGGTTGAGTGGGGTGGGGGGGTGGTACCCACAGAAGGACACCCCAGTCACTAGGTCTTTCCTTCTCCCCATTTTAAAACCTTGTTATTTATAAGAAAATCATGCTTTGGATTAAACCACTTCAAAAACCACCTTAGAGACAATGATGTGACTGAACTAAAACTTTTTTTTATTATTCCTTTTAAGTAGGTTTCACACCCAACATGAGGCTCAAACTCATGATTCTGAGATCAAGGGTCGCATGCTCTACAAACTGAGCCAGCCAGGTGCCCCAAAACTTACTGAATTCAAGGTAATATGTCAACTACAGAGGACATGGAAAGGTTATGCCTCTTTCTTGGAAACTCGACAGTAATTATCATTCAAGCATTTAAAGTCACTGAGAACACCTAACAGAGAAGCCCAACAAACCAAAAGGAAACCAGAACAAACATTTCCTGGGCATCAAGTAAGTATTCAACGCTGTGCCTCAATAGCCCTGGAAACTTTGGGGCTGTTCCAAGGCTCCATAGCCACGTCAGGCCACCAAGCAGGCCCAGGGCTCCATAATGCCACATACTGTCCACATTATCACACACTCCATTCACGAGAGGCACTTTATATATATCAATGTCATTCAATCTTCCCAACAAAATAATAAGAGCAATGGTATTATCACATACTCTACAAACGAGGACTTTTTAAAGGATAACTTGTTGCTCCTGGTGAAGCACATGGTAAGTAGAATTCAAATTTGAATCGAGATTTATTTTTTTATTGACATACAACTGACATAGAACACAATGTAAATTTAAGGTATATAACAGTTTGATTTGATGTATTTAGGTATTAAGATTACCATGATACCTCCATCATGTCCTAAAATCATCATCTCTTTTTTTTTTGTGGCAAGCATATTTAAGATTTAGTTTCTTCACATCTTGGAGTATATAATATAGTATTGTTAACTATAATCATAATACGGTACATTTGATCTCCAGAATTTTTCTAATGCACAGCCCTGTGATTATACTAGGCAGCCTTACCTTGATGCTGAAGACTTAAAGTTCATAATACTTATCTTTTCTAGGTTGGGAGGATATCCTAAACTTCCAAAAGCCAACATCAGGCCAAAATTTGGTATTTTTCCCCATCAGCGTGCTATTTTTAGACCTTTAATTCCCCTAATCAGGACTGAAAAAAGCAAGGGCCAGGTTTAGTAAATAATGACCTTTTGGCTATGATCTGCACATAGGTCTTGACCAGATAATCCGAAATGTTTCTTCCTGTCAGGTTCTGAAGGATGTCTGCAGTGTTCTGTTTTCTCTGTCATCACAGAAAAACAAGCACAAATGTCTTTATAGACCACAATTGAAACGGAAAAAAAAAATCAAGGACTACACTACAGTGACACATGTCCCTTGAATGTGGATCACAGTGTGACCAGACCCTGCCCTCAGGGCCCAGGTGCTGCCATCAGCCAAACACAGAGGCCTGGTCCTTTCTGCCCTCAGCATCGGCCATTCACTTACGCCAAGCCAAGATGTCCCCAAGGAAATTATTCTGAACTACTGAGCAATAGACAGTGGAACATGATTCTTTATAGTCGAAAGGTTTTTAGGGAGCAGTATCATTGACTATGCCCAGTGACTTCTTTGGTTCATTGGAGTTATACTGATGCATAGATTCACTGTTCTTTTAAAGAGAAGTAACCAGGACTTTTAAGTTCTCACACCCACTTACAATTGCTTGTCCTCACCCTGCAACCCAGATGCTGATAAAGCAACAGAGGGAGATCACAAGCCTCTTTCTGAAATTGTTCTCAGAAAAAAGGCTCTGAACTGCTCCCCACACTCACAGCCTCAGAGAATGTCAGAGTTTTAAGACCCGCAGAAGTTTTATGGGCCAGCCTCCCTAATTCAGAGGTGAGGAAACAGGCCCAGGCACTGAGTGGCCTGTCTGAGGTCACCAGCTCATCTGTGGCAGAACCAGGGATGGAGCCGGGCCTGTCACAGTATATTCTGTGACATGACCTCAGTGGGAGAAGCCAGACTGTGCCTTCCACAGCCCACTGATCCAGAGTGTTGTGATCTGGTTTTAACTCAAACAAGTAAGTAACCGAGGCTGACTTTTCAAAGTAGACAAACAAGCTAAAATATAGGACCTTGTAGACCAAGTCCCTTCCCCTCAAAACCCACATGACTTTCCCTATGGTAAGAATTAAGATCAAGAGACAACCCCCTGACACGATAGGTCAGCCATTCCTTCTTCCCAAGCAGAAGCACCCAGCCCCCCTGCACCGCCATCTGCTCAGTCACATGGAGAGTGACTCACTTGTGGAGGAGGCAGCCCCCCTGCCCCCAGGGGACACACGGGCAGCATCTTCTTGATTTTGTCACTGCTACACTGGCAGGTGGGTGAGGGGTTCTCCATCGTCCAGTTCCCATTTTGGAACAGGTCCGTGATGGTCTGGGGAATGGGGGCGGTGGTCCACTCCTCCTCCCCCACTGAGCAGGGCATGTCTCTGCAAAGGGAGGACAGCAAAGGCAGCATCACCCGAGAGGACCTGGCCTTTCCTGGTGCCTCAGGAGCACAGACCAATCAAAAACAACCACAAACATGCATCTATCCATCCCCTCACCATTTGTTTGATCTCCCCACAGACCTGTAAGCTGCAAACTCACTTTATAGTTACGGATGAAGGAACACAAAGAGGCCCTAAATGCTCATATACCAAACTCCAGTCAATCCAATCTGCCGGCATTTGGTCTCTTGCCCCTGTGTTCGCTCAGCGAATATTCACTGAGCATCTACTATGTGCCAGACACTGTTCTGCATATCTCAGAGTCTGGGGTGAACAAGACAAAGTCCCTGCCTTCTGTAGAGGAATTTGGCAATAAGCAAATGTCACTTAGCGAAAAATAAAGCAAAATAAGAGGACA